GAAAGAAAATTCAGGAATGAAAAGTGAATTGAAAACAAAAATGTAAACAGGGATGGATACTGCATTCACGCCAAAAATAAAACAACAACTGTCCAAGAACGAAATCACAATGATATGGCTAATGTAGTGACAGCGAAACTGAATGGAGATAGTAAGTGTTCTACCGCTTCTGAAAGAAAGATTTCAACTTCACCAGTGCATAGCATCATTAAAAGATTCAAGGAATCTGGAGGAATCAAAGCACAAGAGCGCAAGCCTGAGCTGATCAACCGTGATCTCCGATCCCTCAGGTGGCGCTGCATCGAGAATCCTCATCCATCTACCAGCCAGACCACCACATGGGCTCAGAACTACTTTGGTAAACCTTTGTCAAGTACTAGGATACGTAGCTACATCCACAAATGCCAGTTAAAACCGTGCTGGGCCAAAAGGAAGCCCTATGTTAACAGTGTCCAGAAGCGCCGTCGACTTCTCTGGGCTTGGAGGTATCTAGGATAGATCATCACACAGTGGAAACATGTACTGTAATCAGATGAAGCAGCATTTCAGGTATCTAAATCAAAAAAAGAAGAGCTAAATCTTCAAAAGTCAAAACTACCTCGAAGGAAGGTAAATCACAAACAAGATCTCATTAATAAATCAACAGTGCGATGAAATGCAGATGAAACACAGCTCTTCTCAGATGCAGATTCTTCTTGATCCTCGTCAGATGCCAAAGTCTGCAATCAATAGTCAGAAATCTCAAACATTTCGCACCACATGATCCGAGCCGCTCCGCGTTCAGTTTACAGCTCAATATACTCTTTACTCTGGGTCGACTATTGACTCATTCCAGGCTATTTTTACCCAGGAAAACATCTGATCAAACGCTGAGCCAAACTCTATAAACGCTTTCCTCCGAGAAACGCCATTGAGTCACTTTCAGCAGAATCCAGTTTCTCTTTCATCATCACCTGACAGACGTTTCATTGCCGCCTTTTGGACTCGCGCGGTAAAAATAGAAAGTCAGAGCGCTATTAATTCCACACACACAGCCCTGAATAGTGACGAAAGTCCAACATATCTATGCTCTTTAACTTTATACAGGTGTTATCTGGCTTTATTAGCAGCAACACACCCTGAGCAGATGCATGGTTGTTGCTAGAAGGGATACAGCTGCAGCCGGAAGTTAATGAGAATTATTTATACCATTTATTAAATTATTTATCAATTGCATTTTATTAACATCTAAGCCCTACCTTCACCTTAAACCCAACAATCCAACCATCACAGTAATATAAAAACAGTTAGTATAAGGAGTATTATTCATATAATGTATTAAATTACCCATTATATTGTATTTTATTGACACATAGCCCTGCTCTAACCCTCACAGTAATGTAAAAATATTAATTATTGTTGTACAGAATCACAAAAACAGTGCTATATTAATGGGAGTATCTACATTTGCATCCCTACTAGACTTTACACAGATGCACGGCAGAGCAGCCGTTGCCTGATGGTGTCATGGCCTGTTAGACAGGTTACAAGGACTCTAAATCAGTTCTTGCTATAAGGAATAAAGCTTCGGCTTGAAGTTAATGAAAACTATTTACAATTATATATTTAATTATCCATTAATTGTATTTTATTAGTGTCTGGCCCTAATCAAACCATAACAGTAATGTAAGGACAATAATTATACTATATTGATGCGAGTATCCACAGCTGTATCTCTTCTAGACTTTGAAATGAATAATTATTTATAAAAATGTGTCACTTATTTTCAAAAATCACAGATGCCATCTGTGTCATAAACCATAAGTGTCTTATACTGTCAAAAATATTGATTTCTTGATGTTCTTGATGTCAGAGTTAATCAGTGTATTGTTTCCATCATGCATCGTGTAATTAAGTTATTTGATTTTACTTTTCTTTTATCAATATTTTCTTTTTGTATTCATAAAAGCTCTAAGTGGTTGCGTTTACTAATAACTATACAATACAAAATTGTTTAAAAATAACGTTTATCATGATAACTCTCAATTTCCCTTAAATGCAAAGGTCCGTAAATTTTGGTTAGCTGCTTCAACTGCTACAAAGAAAATGTTGGTACAAAGATGGAAACCTCCTCATGATCTCTCAGTTAAGCACTGGTTACATTCATTATTGGAAATACTGTACCTGGAACTGTCATCAGCACGGCTCAACAATGCCAAAGTGGACATTCTTACGGCATGGAAAATCTACATATGCAACGTCAAAGGAATCTTGGACACTTAACCCTCATCTGATGCTACGGATGACAAGTTAATGGAAATTATCTAACAGCTTGGTCTAAACTATAGTTATTCTGTGTTTCCTGATGTGCGTATAATGGGGTGGGGTGGGGGGGGGGGATATATATGGGGTTATATCTGTTAAAAGTATTTTGTTATCTGATTGTAAAAATTGTATATTCTCACTTTCGGAAATAAAAAAACTGAATTACAAAAAAAATAAAATAAAATAACGTTTATCTAACAAAAATGTGTAATAAATCTTGGGTTAATTCTGTTACCATACAATATTTTACCTGTTAAAAAAGTGTAATTACCTCCCACAGCTGTGTAAAACACAGATAAGGATGTCACTTTTTCCTTGCTGATAAGATGTGAAGCACTGGAAGGTGTGTGTGTGTGTGTGTGTGTGTGTGTGTGTGTGTGTGTGTGTGCGCTCTGAGAAAATATTTAGTGTAAAAAGGTCTTACATGTTGAGTACTTTTGTAAACAGTCAACACTGTTACCACAATTTTACAATGAAAGCAGAATATTTCACTGATGACCCGCTGGGTAATCCTGATTTCATTGGTGCCATGTTTCCTTAATATTTATGCTAGTGGACTTTTCATATAAAAAAAAAGTAGTAAAATTGTCAGTTTTGTTGCTTTTACCTATTTAGGGTAACAGTGTTGACAGTAGGCAACAGAGCTGACACTGACAGGGGCTTTGCTCGACTTGCAACACTCACTGCGCGCCGACGCCTTCGCATGAAAGATTGTATCAGGGGTGTTTTTTTTTTTTTTTGCGCGTGTAACGGAGGCCAGCTAGTAGGTGCTGTGCAGGTAAACCTCACTCCTCTGACCTCTAAAGGTGCTCTAAGCAACAGACGCTAGAAGCCATGGCCTTTAGCCTCCTTGTTAGAGCAACCGACTCCCATGTTGAAGGTCACTGGCTCGATACCAGCTCAAAGCGAGTTGGGTGGTGTAGGACCGGCGGGTTTACATTGGTGCCGTGACCCGGATGGGAGTGAGGTTTAGGGGGGTGAGTGTAACGGAGGCCAGCTAGTCAGTGCTGTGCAGGTAAACCTCACTCCTCTGACCTCTAAAGGTGCTGTAGCGACAGACACCAGAGGCCATGGTCTTTAGCCTCCTTGTTAGAGCCACCGACTCCCGTGCGCAAGGTTGCCGGTTCGATACCAGCTCGAAAAGGGTTGGTTGGCGTAGGACTGGCGGGGTTACACACGCATGCTCAGTTTGCTTTTTGATTGCTTTAATTAGCGTTGGTTCAGTTGCACATAGAGAATAACGTCTTTACTCGGGGATTACCACTTTTAATGCATTCACTTGCATATAAAGTAAATCGTCTCTCAAAGCATTTTCTGGGGCACTGGAGATTTGGGGCACATGCCCCAGTAAATAGAGTGTAGCAACGCCCCTGACTGTGTATGTATGTGTGCGATTAAGAGAGCTGTGTGTGTGTGTGTGTTTGTGTCCAAAGGTGAAATTTCATCTTGGTTTCAGGTGTTGAAATGCACTGTAAAAGTTCCACACAATTCCTTCATGTTGTCCCGACATGTTTTTAAAAATTTAATTTGATTGAACATAACACAATTAAGTTGTCCCCCCAAAAACTCAAGAATTGTGTTGTTTCAGCTCATTTTAAATAAGTAGTTTAAACAAGCAGCAAAAAAATAAATTTAAAAATGTAGTGTATATAAGGACTGTTCATCTAACAAACAAGCATTTTTCTTGCTATAATTATAGTTATTTCCACTCATGACCTAATTTGTCCGTAACGAATTGAATTTGTCATTAAAATGCCATTACGTCAATAAATATTGATATATTAATGATGCTGCTATAGAAT